CTCCTAAATTCACTTTTTTGTAAATTTTGAATTTCAAAATACTACCGAAGATTAAACAGAATTTGTGATGTAAAGTTCCTCTCCCGGTGTAGCGTCTTCTTAACCCCTTCTTCTCGCTCCCGTGAATATGACGGGGTGAGTTTTTGCTCGCTATTTCTCGCTCCCGTGATATTGACGGGCTGGAGTGTTCAGTAGTAATGCGCCAATAAGAATAAAACTAATTCATTTCTTTTTCCCGGAAAACATTTTATTTATCATTTTACGCACCATATAGCAGTACCGGGATATTTTTTTTAAGGTAATTGTAAATAGTTAGTTTATTTTTAACTGGATACTAGCACTAATCAAATACGTGTATTTGGCAAAATAGGCACTTTTATGACCGTCTTCTTGAAAATTAATCGATCGTTAAGGGGTTAAACCAACAAACTTAAGAAGCATTCTATGATATCGCTTCCTTCTGGATTGGAAACGCATTGATAGATAAAGCAACTGGTACTATGGCGAAATTCTTAAATAATTTTAAAGTTGGCGAGAACGTACCAAAAATAATCTCTAAATAAGGCTTTGGAGAAAGGTTTTTCTGTTGTGATTGATAGTGAAGATTGAAGCCACGAGAAGGGAAATAAAGAGAGAAGTTGTCGAAGTGGCACTAAAACTGATTACTGAATGGGCACTAAATTAACATTTCCTGAGAAGAGATGAAGTTATTTTAACCCTTTATAAAGTTGTGGGGAATATACTTTCCAACAACTTCATTAATTTTTAATTGTTGATAGGAAACTATTTTCCCACTTATGATTTATGCTGTCATTAACTGGTAACTTCAGAAAATACAAATCGTATATTTCCAAATGTATGCCCATCCGTGCATAAGCAGAAAAATACGCTTTTTATTTGGAAATTCACCCAAAATTTATAAACTCGTTTATAAACTGACGTAAAAAAAATTCGGCATGCTACTCTTGAAAATAAAAGTTTATCACTTCTCTTATGTTTGCATAGTGCATAAAAGAAGCAAGGAAGCATTTTTCCTTATATAATTAAAAATGACTTTAATTTTTGCAAACTTTTACAACTAATTAAAATGCTAATTGATTGTGCAGTTTCCCCATATTGCTACATTAAACGACATCAGCTTTATGAGAACTGATGATATTTTCGTAATTAATCTTTTCTTTAAAAAAAAAAATTACAACTTACAGCTTTTTACGAATTCTTCGAAAAAATCGCAAAATAAACTCCATCTGTGAAAGATGATTAGATTAATCGCTTTAAATCACAATAAATCACCACTTAATTAAGTAGCAGCAAACCTATTTTAAAGATTAAAGAGGTTTAAAATTAACAATTGTTGCATTAATATTTATTAAAAAATGCTTCTTATAACAATGTCAAACTACTTGTCTAATAATTTGTTATTGTCAGTAAATATCTATTATTTGTTTAACAACAATATTCAATGTTTCAAATAAACTTTGCTTTGTTGCAGATTGGTTGGTTATAAAATATTTAAGTTCCTTGAAAATGCATGTAAAATGTTAACATAATAAATTTTTAAGACAAATTTATCAACGTTTTTAGGTATAAAGTTGCGATTTCGGAAAAGAGTACATTATTATTAAAACAATTTGTTTAAAAAAAGCTTAATTTTAAAATGTTTTAATTTGTACCCACAACACGTTATTAATAAAGAGAAATAAAATATGAGGTTTTTTTTAAACCAGAAAACCTTTTTTAAAAGAATGTAATTTTTTAAACATTATTTTAACAAAACTTTATCATTGAAATATTTTTTTTCTAATTTTTAGAGCGAAATTTTGGGTATTTTTACTAAATAAACTTATAATTTTTTTTTTTAATCCGCTGAATTCAAATTTTGAACCCTCAAATGAAGGAGTGTCATGAAATGTTCTCAACACTTAAAACAGCTCATACCGAATTACTAGTACCCTTTATTCGCTTAGATCTGTGATAAAAATTAAACTGACTGGAATATTAGAGTTATACCGGGGTTAGACAAAATTACGAAAATATTTCTATGCTTATTCATTTATTTTCATGTTTCTCAAAAAATACTCAGAGAATTACTTTTATAACTTCAGAAGTCTTTAGATGTGATTTCCCACACTTATCAATGAAGTTTGGGAACTGTCCGTGCATCAGAAAGGTCCTGGGTTCGAATCCCGGGCAAGGCATGGATGTTTCTTTCTCTCTCTCTGTGTTCTATCTCCTTTCTCCTTTGTGTGTGAATGTGACCCGCCCGGGTTGTGGGTCACATTCATATATATATTGGGTATAAACGGGTTGTGGTTGTGTGAATGGCGTGGCAGAAGTCGAATTCCTGGCCATAGATGGCGCCACTGAAAAACAGGAACAATCGCACCCCCGCTGCCTAAAACAGGCATACGACAAAACAAAAAATCAATGAAGTTTAAATTTTTCAGAGGTTTGAGGGACCAGAAATAAATTACAAATCAAAAAGCATGTTTTTAAACACCCTATACCAAAAAAAAAAAAAAAAAAAAAAAAAAAAAAAAAAAAAAAAGAAAATATATATATATTATAAAGCTTGTAACTTGTATCAATTACTTTGATTATTATATAAGGTAATTGCACAAAATTTTGAAAACCTAGCTTAGATAGTCATAATCTTCAAAATCATATTTTTTCCTTACGTTTTCTTACAATAGCTGTAGTAATATACAATGAAAAAAACCAAAACGAAAATTAGAGCAATTTTCAATTAATAACGAAAATATCATTTTGAACTATGAAAATAATTTGATAATTTGTTTAAAAGTAGCGAAATATTAAAGTAATTCTATTATATTGCGCATAAGCGGGAAGCGTTTTAAAATGTTTTTGTTCATAAATTTGTTTTGAATCGTATTTGGTAACCTCTGAAAAGAGTCTTGAAAATATAAAAAGTTTCTGTCAATTTTCAAAGTAGATTTTGTACTTCTTTTAAGAAAGCTATAAATGATAAAAGGTTTTCCACAAATTTTAGTTCCTATAATATCACAAAATTTTATTATAAATGATAACATTCTAAAATGAAGGTCCGGACAACAAAATGTGATTGTAAAAGGAAAGAGAACACGTAAAATAGAACATTTATTACGGAATGGAACTATATAAGGCTAATGTCATTTTTAAGAAATCGAAGTCAAAAGCGTGAAATATAATTTGTGGAAAACACCTTATCAGTCACAGTTTTCTTTTATTTTTATCTCTCTCTAAATTTACAAAAAACAACTTGGAAAACTGGTACTTACTTTTTACATTTTCAAAATATTCCTCACATCTTGCACAATTTTTAACAAATTATGTTCCTATTTTAAAATAATTTATTTATTATTAATTAAAATTTTTACTTCAAAAATTTTCTCAATTGTTATTGCTTATTTCTAAAGTTATAAGAACGTCAGCAAAAAATTAAAAGCAAAATATCAGTAAAAAAATTATTTTTTTTAATAAAAATTTCTATATCTCAAATATATTTACAAGGAATTACAAAATTTTATGCTGTTATCTCATATAATAATCCAAGTAAATGTTACAAGTTCCAAGCTTATTACTACATTTTGTTTTATATCAAGCAGTGAGCGTTAATTTAAAAGAAAATCCAAATATATGCCGAGAAAAATAAATAACAATTTGTATAAAAAAGGTTTTAGTCAGAAGTAAACTACTTTCATAGCATACCTGTGTATATCGATAGCATATAGTGGACAGTTAACGAATTTTTATAGTTTTTTGTATTGATGAAGACTTTTGAAACTTGTTTTATATCAAGCAGTGAGCTTCAATTTAAAAGAAAATACAAATATATGCCGAGGTTGTTTTAGTCCGAAACAAGCCACTTTCAGAGCATATAAAATCGATAACATAGAGCGGACAATTTGAGGATTTTATATAAACTTGTTTTATATTACAAAGTAAGCGTAAATTTTAAAATAAATTACAAATATATGCCAAGAAAAATGAAATGTTTTTTTACAAAATTTTAAACATTTTTATAATTATAAACAGGAAAATTATAAACAACAAAACCCTATATAAAAAGTTTTTTTTTTTAATAGGGTGTTCAAAAACAACTATTTTTTTTTTCATAATTTATTCTCTTTCTTCGAACATATGTAAGCTTTAGAACTTCAACGAAATCTCATGGCCTAAAGACATCTAAAAATACAAAATGATTCTCCAACTACTTCCAGAGTAATACGAAAAATTACTTAATATAGAAGTGTTTCTATAATGCTTTCCCACCCATGTTGTAACAGCACGTTTAAAAAGAACAGAAAAATATTTCCAATGCGGTAACATTTTGCTTTTAAAATTTTATTGGAAATCTTCCTAAAAAGATTTTGCTAGGAAAAAAAAACTGCGAGGACTATTCAATATAAAAATTTTTTTATTCAATTCCTAATGCGTCAAATTTTACATAAAGTTTTCAAAATTTTCTTTTACAAAGTTGACAGAATAACGAAATAAAAGTTTAAAGAATATAATACTAAATGTTATATTTTTTTATCCACAGATATGTTTTATGTTCTAAAAATCCATGAAACAAAAACCCATCTTATAAAAAATGCGTCACACATTTAGAGAAAAGAATTAAATGTAACATTAAGGTTAACAAAATTTCCTCATGCAAAGTTTACCCCATTTTAATTTTTTAATCTCGTTTTCCCTTTTCTCATGATCTCTAATACAATTTAAACGAAAAAAAAATTTTTTTTCTTCTTTCAATTAGCAAGAAGTAAAAGACTTATTTGGTAAATTTTAATATTTTCCTTTTCCCCTAAATCCCTGGGACGAAATCAAGCTCAAAAACATACCTAATAATATGCTTTACTGATCATAATAAAATATAATTTACTAATTTTCAAAACTGACAAAATATTTATAAGCTAATAAATTAATTATTTTTCTGTCTACAACTTTAATCCTAATTCTCAAAATGTATGATTAAAATTTGAACATAAAGGCGTTTTTTTATATTGAGAAAGAAGATTACTTTATGTAACAGATCAATTTAGTATTTTTTTTAATTTTTCAAAATTTCAATTTTGTGAAGTTTACAAAATTTTCACAATCTACGATTCTTATTTAAGTGGACTCACGTTCTTTTTGCTCAAAACTCTTGAAAGCAAATATATTAATTAATATTGAAAATACAGGTGAATAAATAAAACGTAGAAAAACTTCATCACACTCCGTTTAAGGGACTATAAACTTTGTCTCATAAACGCAAGATGATGAAACTGATTGCTTAAGAATTTTAGGTTTACACGCAGAAAGTTAAATTAAGTTGAAGAGTAATTTCTATGTGAAAAAATTTGAACAATACATTAGAAAAGCCATAAATATGTAGAATATTTTAAGTAGGATCAATAACAGAGTTTCGGCAGATTCCAGCTAGTCGCCCGAGTCAATGGCAATCTTCTGTTTCTATAAGGCAAGCTAGTATAAAACAATATGTGATCCATGTTTCGATAGTCATAATATTCCTGTAACGAAAAAATTAAAAACATATTATGTTTAGGTTTTAATTATACAAAAAAAAAAAAAAATACTTAAGCTTTGTATCATTTTAACCCGTTCAGGACCAACGAAAGGAGGAAGAAGTCCTTCCTCAAATGCCTTCTCTCGTTGTTAAGATGGTTGTCACGTGATTCAAGGACGATTGTTTGCTGCAGCTGATCTGTGCTTGGCACAATAAAACTCAATAAAAATGGTTGTATGGTGCCGAGCATTTGGATGTAGAGAAAAATTCATAAGAGGAGGACCTTTTATAATTCACAAGCATAATTTTAATACTTTTGAATACATTTCTAGTCATTTCATTGCAATTTCTATAACTTGATGAGACGCTATGAAATGAAGTCATTAAATTTTCACTTGTGAAACTTATTTTTCATATTTTATTTTAATTAGTAGATCACAACTTAGTAGTCAACATTTGTAGGCATTTTCATTGCAATTAAATTCAAAATTCTTTTGAAAATTTGGAACGATTTATTTTTTTCCTTTGAAGCTTGTTTCATTGGAATTGGTGCAGTATTTTGACGCGAATATTTTGCATACAATCATCATCATCATAGTTGGCCAGACAGCCCAATGTGAGCTAATGCCTTCCTCTGAAGATTTCTCCACGACGACTTCCGATTTATCTTTGATCTCCAATTTTTTTCATTAATAGCGAGAAAATCAGACTCCACTGAGTCAGCCCATCTCAACCGCGGCCTTCCCCGCTTTCTTTTTCCAGTGGGTCTAAAAAGCAGTATCTTTTTTATTGTGTTGTCGTCACTCATTCGAATAACGTGGGCGATCCAATTCATTCTATTTATTTTTATGTATTTAATATCCAGGTTGTTTATAAATCTTGTATATAAATTTTGCATACAAATCACTCTTTATTTTAAATCTATAATTTATATCAATATAAATAAATAAGTAGCTTATAATATACTTCTTAATAATACTCTAGCTTTTATTTCTGAATTAATTGCCCAGAATTTTTTGCTGTTTTAAAATAGAATGCTGTTTTTAATAATTTTGAAATAAATTTACAAAAACACTTTTGTACTTATAATAAATATATTGTACTTATAAAAATAAATCGTACTTATAATTAATTATTATAAAATTTGTTCTTTTAAAGGGCATATAGTTGTTTGGATCAAAAAGTTAAGCAGTCATAAAATGAGTTTCGCCAGTACAGAAAATTTTGAAGCAGGGAAATTAGTATTTAGAAATATTATTTTGATTTAACATACTGTGTGTGTTGAAATTAAGAGAGTTTTGTAGCCTCAATTTTTGGTGGCGCGGTAGTTTATTCTTTCAACATTTTGAAAATAAAAAAGAAAATCTTTCCCTTTTTAATGATCAGTGAAATGTTTTATATGAATTGTAACAAGTTGAATAACAAGGTAACTATTAACAGGTTAAACAACTGGTGCTAAGTATATTCTCGTACAAAATTTTGTAATACTTAAGCAAAAAGACAAGTATTAAAATTAAAAATTGTTATTTTACTTCAGTGTTCTTAATTTCCTTCCTGGCAACTTTTTTTATTATTTTTAAAAAAATTCTTATTGTCATCTAGATTTTTTTTCTTATTTAAATTATTAGAATTAAAGAAAAAGCAATGTGGAAAGATATTTTATCACTCTATTCAGGATATAATATAAAAAAAGCGTGGGATGAAGTGTTTTTGAAAGCAAAAAAATAAATTGTTGAGATCTAGTTGTTTTTTTCTTGTTTTTTAATTTCGAACGAGTCTTTATTTTTATTCATTTCTTATGATGTTTTTAACATAAATAATACATAGAAATTATCGATGGCAATAAAATTTCTATTTTTTATTTTAGTATTTCATTCGTGATTTTTTTTTTAGTGTTTTAGTATTTGAAATTAATAATTAGTAGTACGTGCATTGCAATGTATTTTGATTTGAAATTTTCTTTCTTTGCAATCGCTAATAAAATAAGGTAAACATTCAAAATTACAAAAAGTGAGGAAAAAATCTTAAGGTATTTTAATAAATTTTCATTTTCGATGCTAGCGTCAGCTAAAAAATTTTCACCAAAAAGACAACCCTTCTACCAGTTCATCTTTGAACAAGTATTCAAAGGTTAAACAATATACTGACTAACTCTACTGACTATTTATACTCAGGTACTCTAATGTGCGATGAAACATGAGAGTACTAAATTGAATTCACATCCATATGATCATGGGTCGTCGCTGGAGTCAAAAAGGCTCGTCTCATATTTGATACTATGATATATAGACCGTACTGAACTGGTTACAGGCTAAATACTGTGGTTTAACCCACTGACGGTTCTGCACGTAAAAAGTCGTATTTTAACCTGCATAGCAAAACCGGTTTTTCCATGTTAATAGAAAGGGGAATAGTGTATAGGAGAGAAACATTCTCCCAATTTTGCTCCCTAGAGCTGGCCTCTGTACTTCACCGCACGCCAACCTTTACTGTTAATCACATTTATGAGAAAAATCCTTCATTGTTATTTTATATATAGATATACTGTAATTATCAGCCACACAAATAATATTTTGGAAACATCGACATTTAAAAATTAATGTGGGAACTATACTTTCCCACGGACTTGGGGTTGAAGAAGTAATTCATCAAATTCACTATTATAGAATTATTTAAAAAATATTTCCAGTGGAATTGTAAAAGATAGAAGGGATGAATGTGTTATTAAGTTAGAACGAATAAAATAAAAATTGGATTTATAAATTACATGCCTTATATTTTATCTAAATATATTTTATAAACATTTTTATTTTTAAATTTATTTTCTATTTTTTTTCATTTAATTAATTATTGTTTGCCTTTTTGGCGATATTTTTAAAAATTCGTGATTTATTCTCCTGCTAGTTATTTAGTTTTGTTTGCATCATGTTTTGAATAACGAGTCAGTAAATTTAGCTTCTCTGAATTCCAAGTTATACTTAAGAAAAGTCGCAACGAACTTAATTGATTAACTTAGGAACTGTAATTGATTGTCATTTTAAACAAATTAACAAATTCAATTTTATACAAAGTAATTTTAAACAAACTAATAAATAAACAAACAAATGCATAGCTCTGCCTAGAATGTAATAATCCTTATAAATCTTATAATTTATATATTTATTTCCAAATGCTAGTGTCCCGCAGTGGATTGATCATTAAGACACGGTTCCCAGCAGATCACCAAAGTCAAGCATCACTGGCTACGGTCAGTGTGCGGGTGGGTGACCACTTGGATCAGTCTGCGTAGGGACCGTGGGTTTGCGGTATTGGACCTCTTTAAACTGTTCTACCGTAAAGTGCTCGACTTCGCGTGCAGGTCGTCGGGCTACCGAAGCGAGGGTGTCATCCCCTCTGCAGAGGATCAAAATTGTGATAGCATGTCTTCGGATCATCCTCAGGGGTGTTTCCCAGACCGTCGCCAATAGCCCATCGTGCTGCTCTAGTGTGACGTAAATTAACTGCAACAACCAAATGCTAGTTTTACAAATGACAATTGCTTCATCTACATGTATGAGGCGAAAAGTCATGGAGAAATTAAAAAGAGAGTAGAAAGTTGTGAAAAACCTTTTTAGAGAATAATGTCAGTTTTGATTCGCTTTTAGATTAAATTGCTTTAAAAAAAAACAGTTCAAAATAGAATTGAATGAATTCTATTTACCATCTGATTAAAAAACGCATCTAAATCTTATGACCTCTGACATTCACTGAAATCGTGTGACTTAAGACATCAGTTTACTTTAATCGGGAAAAGATAAAATTTATCTACCTACCTCAGCAATGAGACAAGTGAAAGTATTTTCCTGCTGGATCTGAAAAATAAAACGAAACTAATTATTAGCAACCTATACTAATACGAAATAATAATTGTATGTGGAATTTTTCTTTCTCCTTACTATACAATATATTTTGGAAAATACCTTTATATTGCAGAGTATAAGTCAGTCATTCGGCTCTAAAGAAATAAGTATACTCTGAAGATTTAAATATTGTTACTATAATACAGGGTGCATGCTGTCCTTAGAAAACTTTGAAAGTGTAAGCAAAGAAATAAAGAAAAAAAAAGAATAATAAGTTTGTATTAACCGCTACACTTATATAAATAAATTTAAGCTGCAACGCTTATAGACTGCTGGCCACCGAAATTGAAACACCAAGAAAGACAAGAGATATCACAACAAAATTTATTTTGTAGATAACATGTTGACCAAGTATCAAATTATTACATTTATAGACTTCTGTGAGGTGTGGTTCCTGCCAAAATCAGTAGCCAGAGTAGCCACCATTGTTGTAGATCACCGCTGCCACACGCCTCGGCATTGATTCAAAGAGACTTTGTGTGTGTTCTTGGGGTGCAGCACACCAAGCAGCTTTCACACGTTGCCAAAGTTGATCTGGTGTGGCAGCTGGTGATGTAATCTGGGTCAATCGTTGAGCAGTCATGGACCACATGTTTTCTATCGGTGAAAGATCCAGAGAGCGAGCTGGCCAGGGAAGCAATTCAATCTGACGATTGACGAATAACCCTTGGGTAATGCGTGCCACATGTGGTAGCGTATTATCCTGTTGAAATATGGCTGTGGGCACGCTCTGAAGGTAAGGAAGGACAACTGATTCCAGCACCACGGAGATGTAGCGCTGGCTTTTTAAAATACCGGCAATGCGTACTAGAGGAGTGCGAAAGCGATACCCGGTGCAGGACTAGTGTGGCGGTGCATAACGCAGCTGTTCAGGTAAAAAATCAACATCAACAATCAGAAGAGCAACATCTTCTCTCCACGCCAATAGCCCATTGTGCAGCTCTAGTGCGACGTAAATAAAGTACCTACCAAAGTACCTCAAATAATAAAGATTTTTATAAATAAATAGCTATAATTTCAAATTCTTACTTCCGGGGCTCTTAGAGGTAACTCTCTCGTATCTTGAAAACTTTTTAGACAAACAGGAAATACTCTAGAAAGAGGGTGGTAACGTAAATCCAAGAGATATCGTCTAGTATAATGTATCTTGCGATTTTCAAGCATCTCTGGTTCAGTGATGTCTATCCTTGGGTTATTATGGTTTATCCAAGATGAATCAGTTGCTTTTTCAATGTTAATTGATTTCTGAGAAAAGTGCATAAGTACATATTAATAAAACGTGTATGTTTTGAATTCTCATTCAGTTAAGAGTGGCGAGCACATGCGTATAAAAATATTCAACAGTATGCAAAAATACTAAAAATTAAAATGCGTAAGTTTTTATAGAACAATTAAAAATAACTTTAAAAGTTAATTAAATTTATTTGTATCTTTTTAAAAAAAAATATTCTCCGTAAAAATTGCCAATTTGTTCATTATTTAAGATCACTTTTCAGGAGATAAAATATAAGGTGTCCCTAAATTGATAAGACAAACTTTAAGGCGTATGAATTCAGATACTGGTTCGCTTATAAGGTTCATCACAACCCTGTAGATGGTTATACAGCGTAGAGCTAGATCTCAAGAGCATTAAAAAAATTAATTAAATTTTGGCGGACCATATGGTGTCATATCAGACAACATCAAAACCAACGAAAAATGGAAAAATGAAGGTGTGAAACGAAACTAGAAAAACCACAGAAGCCGAAGGGATAAAATGATGAAAAGTAGAACCAAAGGTCGAACTGACAAAAAATATTCCTTGTCATCAATGCGACATTGGCTACATCGGGCAAACTGGACGCGCTTAAAAATTTAGACGTAAAGAACACGATTGATATGTCAGTTATCAAGAATACGAGAAATCATAAATTGCTGCTCATTGTTAGGATCTTGGGCATAAATTAAATTTCGGCAATGACAAAATTACTTCCACCCCAGTCGCATTAGCTCAACTTGATGCCCTGGAATCTTGTTTTATTTATATGAATGCTGATTCCCTTGTTAACGACATTAGTTCCTCACCATCGTTTTTTTATCTTTTTGTCTCTCGGCTACTCAGGTTTTTCTTGTTTTGTTTCTCACCTATATTTATCATTTTTTGTTGGCAACTTAAAGTTTTTTTTTTCATTTTATTTCACATGACTTTGGTTTTTCTTATTTACATCTGCAAAGTCTTGAAAATGGGCTCCTATTTTCGAAGTGTTTGAAACATATCAATTGCTATTTGCTATCTATACATTTTTGCTTCAGTTTCTTTTAATTATTTATTTGATGTTATTACACCTAACTCCTCTCTATTCGTCAAATTTGAATGACCTTTTTTCCCCACTTTTTCCCATTTAAATTATAATATGAAAACGTTAATGTGTATATCTCTTGAGCTTAATTTTTTTACTAGAATTCTTAATACATACATATTAAATAGAGTTTTTAATACATACATATTAAAGTTGGTGATAACGGATCACCTTGTGTGAAGCTTAGGACACATTAATTTATTCGTAATGCAACTGTTTACAAAACATCTTTATTTTATTTATTAAAAATAGATTTAATTAAAAGAGTAAATTAATAATCTATCTATCACGTTTCTAAATCAAACTGCTGAATATTTTTTCGAAATGCGAAAGGCTATTTACTCACAATTGTTTCGATCTTGAAAGAATTTAAAAACAAATCTGTCGTCTCTTGATCAAACATCGCCTTTTCTTCATTTGCCTCAACGTTTTCGCTTTGTTCCATTTTATCTGTTTCCATTGATTACAATGATTTTTATTCTGAAATGAATTTATTATTAATACAAAGCCACTTTTTCTTGACATTAAAATGTAGACTCTTTAACCCATGCCAAACTTAATTCCTTACAAGGGTTAAATACAAAAACATAATGCAAGAAAAAAAAATTAGCTTTCCTGAGTTTTCTAATCCAATTTTTTTAGAATGATAAAAAATATATATATTTTATTTTTTATATCGACATTTTTTAAAAGAGAGTTGAAAAAGCAAAATTTATCTCAATTACCACCAAACGAGAACTTGACTTAAAATAATACACCTAAAAGGAATAAAATAAGCTTTTTCCAAGAGACTAGTCGGAATCGTTTTTCCAAAAGACTAACTAAAAAGGAGATATATTTTTAACACTTCAAAAATAAAGAACCTAGGTCTCATCACTTTCATAAGAAAAAATGCCATGTAATTAAAAAAAATTTATGATTTTGTTAAGAATTCTATATCATGTTAAGCATTATTGACTTAAAAAAGTGTTGTAAATAGTCCATATAATAACCAATTGCAGTGTGGAAAGTCCCGCAGTGGACTGATCGTTAAGACACGGTTCCCAGCTGATCACCGAAGTCAAGCATCACTGGCTGCGGTCAGGTGACCACTTGGATCAGTGTGCGTAGGGACCGAGGGTGTGCGGTATTGGTCCTCGTTAAACTGTTCTACCGTAAACTGCTCGACTTCGCGTGCACGTCGTCGGGCTACCGAAGCGGGGGTGCCATTCCCTCTGCAGATGATCAAAATTGAGATGGCATGTCTTCGGATCATCCTCAGAGATGTTTCCCAGACCGTCGCCAATAGCCCATTGTGCAGCTCTAGTGCGACGTAAATGAACAACAACAAGCACTGTGTAAAATTGTTAACTAGAACGAAGACTAGATGATCGAAACTATAATGACTATACAAGATCGACTGGTTGGCATAGTGATCAAGGAGCTGGCCTCAGACCAGGAAGACACAGGGTTCGAATCTCGTTTCGGGCATAGGTGTAATTTATTTCTCAGTTTTATTTGCCTATGTTTTATGTCTATGTTGTACAGTTTTATGTGCCTATGAAAAAGTGAATAACAATACCACCTGTTAGACATTATTTGTTTGGAATAAATAAAGGACCAACGAAATGTTCGCTCGAATAATACCAGAAAATTGTTTTGTCAAAAATGAAGAAGTTTAGTAAAATTTGAGTATCCATTTTTTACTATGTACTTTTGTATGGCCAAATAATCTTAACAATATTTTACCTAATAGTTATATATTAGTGAAAATATCTCTTATGGCAGTTCGTACCAGTTCCACTTAATTTAAATATACATGTAATGTAGCTCTTATCAGCAGAAAATACTATAATTATTAAACAAAACAAAAAACTTACGCTTTCATAGAAGACTAAATAAAGAAGGAAGAAAGAAGTAGAAAAAAAGAAATAATTTTTGACAAACTTAACAACAAAATGTTTTTAAAATTATTATTTCAATATTTTCTTTAAGTACGCGTCTGTTAATTTATTCGTGTCGGAAAATGGTTAAAATTTCGAATGGCAAGAAAATGACGATCAATTTTGTCTAGAGACCATATTAACTAGTATTATCGTAGAGCTCCACTTTAAATTTCAGCGCGATAGATAAGTGAAAATTCAACTGGGGATAAAATCTATCTACCTTTAGTGATTAAAAAACTGTTGAAACCTAAATTGTCATCTAGAGTTCATTCTGAACGCTCCATCCAAAAATTCCGAATAGATATTGAATACTCGTTCATGAATTGCTTATGTATTTCTTATCCAGCTTTTCAAATCAAAATAAAATAACTAAATTTGCAAATTAAGGAATATGTTTCTCTAATAACCATATTTAACGTTTAAGGGAGTTCTTATTAATTTTCCTTTCAAAGAAAACCATGATTCTGCTGATTTTATTCGTTTTCAGATTATGTATAGACACCGAAAACAAATTCATTACTAGATTAGATAAAGCTCGAGGACTGTGAATTTAACAAAGGAACATAAAATGTAAGTTAAGATAATATTACTATGGAAAGAAAAAATTCATTCCTTTGATTAAATATTTTCAAAATTAATAATATTTTATTGGTTTATACGTTTGCAACTACACCGAAGAGCCATTACATTATGACCACCCTGCTAATAACATGTAAGACCACCTTTAGCCCTCAAAACTGCTAGCACCCGCCGTGGCATTGATTCCACAAGGTGCTGATAGGTAGTCTGAGGTATCTGGTACCAAGCTGCAATTCCCTCACATTGCGAGGGGGTAGCGTGGCAGCACGAATTTGGTTTTCCAAGTAGGACCACAAATGCTCTATTGGATTAAGGTCAGGTGAATTTGGGGGCCAAGACATGACTTGAAAGTCACTGGAATGTTCCTCGAACCAATCTATGACGATTAGACTCTTATGGCATGATGCATTACCCTGTTGGTAAACACCATCCCCCGTATGGAAAAACTGTTGCCATGAATGGGTGAACCTGGTTTGCAACTATGTTCAAGTAGCTTACAGACGTCAGGGATTGTTCTATGAGGATTGTGGATCCTAATGTGCCCCATGATAAAATTGTTCCTGGGCGAGCCCATTGTTATAGATGGAGGGTGGTCATAATGTAATGGCTCTTCGGTGTATTTTTATATAGATATGTTTTATTCACATTGAGAGGAAACTATATCGCAGGAGGAATTCCATCACAAATTCTCTCCATGCGAAATTTAAACTATAGAGAAAGTGCAGATAAAAAGAGTTCAGGCAAACCTAGAGTAACCCATGAAGTTTCAATTGATGAAATTTTTTTTTAAATGCAATTAATACAAACAAATTATTGGAAGAGAACTTCCTCTTTGCGCAATCCTGAGTTATCTTCGCAAAATTTCTTTTTCGTTTTAATATTTTGAAAATTTCTTTTCAGAATATGAAACTTCATGACTTACTTTTTCTACAACTTAAATTACTTTGTGAAAGAGAGGAAGTTTCTATCGTCGTATAGCATCTTCTTACGAACCGACGAACGAACGACGTCTACTATCTTACCGACGCACAGTGAGCCAGAAGACCATGGTCTTTGGCCAAAAGTTAAAATTAAATTTTCAACTAAAATATATGTGTAGGCAGTTTTAATATCGCCCAAATTAAGTATTCATAATCATTCCAAACATATTAATTTACTTTTCGGACCGACAAGAGTACAATGTAGTGAAAAATATGTTTAAAAAAAAATTTTTTTAATGTAACTTTTAAATTTATATTTCAGAAATATATATAGGAATTTCACCTTACTGTTGCATTTTTATCAGAGTAATTAGTCTGAAATTATAGTACAATTTTTCAATTTGTTGGATTAGTTAATACTCTTGACGAACTTATAGTTTATATCTTATCATTTGACATTTTACAATGTTTGAATCACTTTCGAAACTTATCTCCAAAAAGTTCCACGAGGTAATTAGCTAAACTTTTTTTTGTTGACTTCTTAGATGTTTCTTCTTTCGAAAACACCTGCCCCATTTTGACCATATTGCAAAGGTGGACTAAATATACCGAAAAACAAAAATCATGTTTTTTTTCATGTTTTCGCGTTATTTTGTAATATTACTTCGGAAATATAATTTGCTTTTCATTTTTAATATAAAATTACGAAAATTATTATATTTTCATTGCTATATTTAATTATTTAAGCGTACTAAATAATTTTTATTTTATTTTTGCTCGCCATATTTCAACCGCCATTTTTTTTTTTTTTTTGGAATTTTTAGTGTATTTCAAAATTTCAACTATGAATTCAATTAACCTGCACATAAAAACCCCCAAATTTAGAAACAAACTTTATCGAAATACTAATTTTGGCCACGAAACCTTGGATGCTGGCCCACTGTGTGACGACAGAAGTTTGATCATTTAGGGTTCCACAGCCAGAAAAATTGGGAACCGCTGTTTTAGCAAGTCAGTAAAAGAGACAGCAATCTAACATGATACGAGAAAATATAATCAAATATAACAAGAAAATAAAATTATCAAAAGCCAAATAGTTGGACTTATTTTTATTCTTTTATAAGGAAATAATGAGAAATAGTTCTAAAAAGAAAAAGCCTTAAATAATTTAGGCGTAATATTTAAAACTGCCTTTTAAAATTAAAAGAAAATAACAAAAAGAAAGGAATAGTTGATAACGAACTACTTCGATTTAGATAAAACAATGACAGCAGGAAAGTTTGACTATTAATTTATTAAAATTTCAAGAAAATTGATTTGTAAGAGTTTTCTAAAGTAAAAATAATTGATGACGGTTGACTTACAGGCAGAAAATTTCTTTGGACCTCGTAGATTAATTGGAAAATATTCAGTTAAAGTATTATTTGTTTCAAATTAAGTTTTTATTTCTTTCCTCATATTCTTAATGACGCCTTTTCGTGCTTATGACAGTTTTTAAAATTTTGATTTTATCCTTTTTTTTTAATAACTTTTTTTTGGGGAGGGGGGAGGGAATTAATATCTCATTATTAAAAGTTTGAAATATTTACTTAAGAAAGGTAAAAACATTCAAATATTACTTTTTAAGTTATCTAAAGAAAAAGAAATTTTTTATTTTGTCTGACCAAAACGGAGATATTTTCACAGGCACAGATGACACCGTTCTTTTTCGTTTTTGATCAGGGGTTTCCAACTTACATGAGGCCGGGAGCCACAATTAAAAATATCAGTGAAATGGCAGGCCGCAACTGTGTCGAAATTTTATACAGGACTCTTTTATCTTTGAAGGAACATAAAAAATATAACTGTCAGATTTTTACCAAGTTATTCAAAACAAAAGTATTGAATTACAAATAATAATAAATATTTTCTTGAATGCAAAACCAGAGAAATAAAATTTTTTGCACCGTTGGTATGTTAAATTTCACAGAAACGAATAAATGAGTTTTTTTTTAACGAAAGAAATGTCTTTTAAACCCATATAGATTTTTTACGAAAATTTTCTGCACAAAAATGA